CCATTTTTCCAGTTTTTCCAACAATAATATCATATGAAAGAATGCAAATTCGGGTTTCACGATAGAGAGAAAAAAGAGATAAGGGTTTGGCTTGATTTTGGAAGAATAATATCTCAAATTTGATTCTTCGATTTGCGAATATCAAACTCCTTCCTTTGTGATTGAGTTTCTAACCAATAACTAGATACAAAACAGTATGAAAAGTGGAAGTGTTTGATACCCATTTTGGAGAAGAATTTGATTTGGAATAGTGATTGATGAAAGAATGTGTGGTTAAAAAGTAACGAGAATTTTTGGGATTATATGTAATATTATTTTATTGATAGAATGTGTGGTTGAAATGAAGAAAGAGGAAAAAATGAGAAAGTGAATGAGAAAAAAATGAATGTCAAACAAGGGCTAAGCAAATTAAAGACAAGTAATTCAATCTCGTTTTGAGATTTCAAGTAAATTCTACAACTTGAAATAGAACTTACTTGTAATCCGATTATAAGCATGCAAGTATGATTACATTGGTATCTTGAATTCCCTGTTGTTAACCTCCGTTTATATTGATAACTGTTAATCTTCTCTCTCAAAATTATTAAACTGATTTTTAAAACTATTGAACTATTTAATCTATGAAGGGTGCAAATATATAAAAACACAAAATAGAATTAGAATATCACAAAGATGGCACGAAGTATAGAAGTATCTCTGTCTCCTATAAAACTTAGTGTCATTTATTATTTGAGCTAGAAACATGAGTTATCTTTCAATATAATAATAAATCTTAAAAACAATCCTTAAATTAGCTAGAATTTAACTTAAAATAGATAATTGATTAAATTCAAGAGACAACATTTTTTCATCGTAATTCTAGCAACTAGAAGCTTAGTCAGAATTTGAATAAACTAAAACAAAAATTGAATAAATTCATAACTTGGATATTCAAGGAGAAAAGATTATTACTATTACGCCTCTTCCAACGAGGCTCCAGCATAGTCACGTGACAACCGCACAACAAGCGAACTTGGGCTCACACTTTACGTCATCCTACCTATGTGGTAATTTTGGCCGAACCCCTATGAAGAGGCCGAATTTGTGTGCTGGGGTCGAATCCATATAAAGGTTGAGCCCTTTTGATTGGGCAAGATTGGTAGAGGCGTTGCAAATGATTCATGTACAAGATCTTTCATTTATGGTTGATATGACAACGCTGCAATAGCCACTCTACTAGTTAACATGTCAAGTCTAGCCCTCTATGTGTCAGCATGTGGTTGCAAACGACCATAACAGTAAATGCACGCCTTAGCCGCTAGGATGAAGCCACGTGTCACTTCATCAAATGGTTCTTACTCATCTCATTCTACTATAAAAGCTCACTCACTGTGCAATTCAAAGGTAATGCAAATTTAGACCTTAAGCTATAACTTTACTTTCATTATTCTCTCTATATTTCGCAGATCCAAACTCCTTTTTACACAAGTGGCTCATGTCTTAATCATGTCCCACATCCAAATATTTATTCTTTAAAGACTGATTTAATCGTCGGAGTGCTCTCGATTGCCTCTCTTACTATCGGAGATTGGTCACGTGCTTTAACGTTTTGCCCAAGTATACAAGAAGAGCTACGTTAACGTGAGAGAAGCTGAATTTGTTGGTCACGTCAATTCGACAAAAACGAGGTCAACAGTTACAACCCTCGGTATTAAATTTTTCCATTATCTTGAAATTACATCAATCATCGTCCCAATCATCATCTATTGTGTGATACTTTCTATTGACCTAGATACGAATAGAGGTCAATATGTCTTGAAAATTGTGTACATTACCATTATCATTATATGACTCATACATAACACACGTTGGTAAAATAATGAAATGAATTACTAGAAATTTTTTTGTCTTCATATCATTGAATGCCAACTCATTTCAATTTGTACATTTAGCATTACTCAATATTCTTTTACATGGATTATTCTTATGTCTTCGCAGAACAGAAAATTAAGAATTAAGAAAAAAGGGAAAGAAAAGTAAGATGCAAAAATTATAATTAGATGAAAATACAAGGACGTCATTGAAAATTTCTAATTATTTAAATAATGTCCTGTCTTGTTTGCAAAGAAATCCGACGCCACTCTTGAACTCTGTACTTCATCTGCCTAAACAAATCTTAAAGAGCACAGAGAAGACCCGGAAAAGAATTAAAAAGAAAATGTCCGGCATGGAAAGATTACAAAGAATGTTTGCCGGAGCCGGCGGTGCCCTCGGACACCCGCCACCGGACTCTCCAACTCTTGATTCATCCGAACAAGTCTATATCTCCTCTCTTGCCCTCCTTAAAATGCTCAAACACGGTAAATCTAGGGTTTTGAACTACATATGCCAACACATTTGGATGTAAAGGATTATATATGGTTTTTACTGCTCGTATTGATGTAATTACTGTTTATATTATTATAATGATAGGAAGGGCGGGGGTGCCAATGGAAGTTATGGGGCTTATGCTAGGGGAGTTCGTAGATGAATACACGGTTCGAGTGGTGGATGTATTCGCCATGCCACAGAGTGGGACAGGAGTTAGCGTGGAGGCCGTGGATCATGTCTTCCAGACCAATATGCTCGATATGCTAAAGCAAACTGGCAGGTAAAAGTAATTCCTCTTCCGATAGAAAATTTCTGGGCTTTCTTGATTAAGATAGGTGGTGTACTTTGTGAGGGTTTTATAGAAGTTTGAAGGAAATTGAACGGTTTTAGAATTTTTTGTTTTTCAGATCAGAATGTGATAGACGAAGGCAATGAAAAGAGAACTAGCCTAGTAGCCATGATAATTTTCAATTAACTCATAAACCATCAAAATATTATTATAAAATTTTTAGTTTTTGCGTTTCCTTAAAATCCTAGACTATAAATCCCCAATCCTACCAAAAAAAAAAATGAAAAAATGAGTAGCAGAGAGCAATATAGAACAAACATTTGGAACTGATCTTGCTTTCTCTGTGTTCTGTCTGTTTTCTGGAGAAAAGCTTACAGAAGCTTCACATTATAGCAAATGGAAAAGACAAGTGGGTTTATTGGTAACAGCAGAGTTTCTGGGTGAATTGAAACATATTGAAGTTTGTTGGAGCAGTATGATTATTTCCTTCTCAAGTAAACTAAAAGTAGTTATGGATGCTGAACTGGCCAGTTCTGAGCTTGCTAAGTCTACCACATGATGAAAATTTTATCACTATTATCAAATTAAGAAGCATGTTTGATTTCTGAATTCTAGCGACTTTCTTTATTATATATTTGTTTCTCAATAGGTTTTGCTGCTCAAATTAATAAATCGAACCCATAAAAAATTGTTGCTTCTTCATATAAGTGCTTTGCTTATTCTTCAAATGACTTCTTCTAGGTTTATCATTTTCCATCATATCTGGTGACTGGTATTACTTAGTCATTCACTTACATATTAAATGGATTTTTCCATTGTGTCAGACTGAGGACTTTGCGTGATATTTTCTGAATCAGTAATTTGTGTTGCTTATTGTTAAGTCATAGTAAGCTGGCGATTAGATTAGTATTCCCGTATTTGCTAATCATTCAATGAACAGTGGTACTCTTGAAAAGGCTATGGTGTTAATGGGTTTGAGTTGGTTCTGTTTGTTTAGTTTGATTTTGTTTTAAAAATTGTTGACTTATAGTTTCTTATGGGGTCCAACAATTGCGATATTAATTACCCTTCTTTCAATTTATTGAATTTCTAGTAGAATCTTCATGCTGATGCTGTTTCTGTTTTTGTTAATGATGTGGCCATTTCATGTCCTCTTTTCTGTTACATTATGTAAATTCAGCAAGTATTGTTTGTTGTTGGTTGCAGACCCGAGATGGTGGTTGGTTGGTACCATTCACATCCAGGTTTTGGGTGTTGGCTTTCTGGCGTTGACATCAATACTCAGCAGGTTGGTACTCCGTCATCATTTACTGTGCATTGCTCCAACTTATGTTATTTTTTGTATCGGATTGAATATTTGATCAATAGTAACTTGTTCTTGCAGTTGGTATTTTTTACTTCGTCAGATATGAAATATTCCACAAATATTCGCAGACCTTTTATTTTGTTTATACTCATTTAAGCAGTCATGCACATCCTACCCTAGACACTATTTACTGATTCTGGCTATTTACCTCTGATTATTTTTTTGGAATTCACAATATTGTAATGTGGGGTTGATTATCATAATTGCATCATTCTATTAAACTAGAAAGAACTACATGATCCTGTTAAATGTAGGTAGTAAGTAATTACAAATTCAAAGATTTGTATTCTTGTTATTTATTTTAGCTGTGTTCTCTTGGCCCTGAAATTTGAGTATGTATAAAATTCTGAGGTGAAAGGAATAAGAGAAGGTCATGTAATTTTTTGAAATTTCAGAACCTTGTGCTTAAGCAGATATTCTCTCTCTTGGCCCTGAAATTTGAGTATGTATAAAATTCTGAGGTGAAAGGAATAAGAGAAGGCGATGTAATTTTTTGAAATTTTGGTTTTTCAATTATGCAATCAAATTTGTAATTTCAGAACCTTGTGCTTAAGCAGATATTCTCTTTGTACATTTTTGGTTTGTCATCTTTTTTGTGGTTATATCCATCTTATTGTGGTTGAGGATGTCTTCTATAGATGGAATATTGCAAAAAGGAAAATTCTATAGACTCATAAGATACTTGAGAAAAAAAAAAAATCGTTCTTTCTTCTTTTTCCTCTCTTTTAAATAGGAACCATCTGAGTCAAAGTAATTGAGCATTTTTATTTTTCTCTGCTTTTTCTTGTTAAATGATACCATGTGAGATTTAGAGGAACGTTAAGTAAATCTTAAGGCTACCTGATAGAAGACGTCATAATGTTCTGCCATATTGGTATTTTTTTTACATCTAATGATATTATCTAGCTAGCTATTCCAAGAAACCATGTGCTTGTGATGGACATTTGTTTTTATTTAATTATATATCATTGTCAGTTTTTTTGGTTGGGGGCGGGAGCGGTGTTTGATACTGGCCAGTAGCCACAAGGTATCCAAGTTGTGGGAAAGAGCAAATATTAGGGGTTTTACTCTCACAGGTTTGTTGACACTAAATAGTTTGGCTGGAGAAATGAGTTTATGGCATATACAGACAGTTGGAAAGTTTGTTACTTACTTTTCCGCAATTAATTGTTACTGTTCGGTCAATTTTTTTATTTACAACTGTGTATCTCTAGCATCCTCAGTTGCCATTTCCTATTATATGATGTAGAGCTTTGAAGCTTTGAATCAAAGGGCAGTTGCGGTGGTGGTGGATCCCATTCAGAGTGTTAAGGGAAAGGTGGTGATTGATGCCTTCAGACTGA